GTGGTGGTGGTGGTAGTGGTGGTGGTAGTGGTGGTGATGGTGGTGATGACAACCATGATGATGATGATGACAATGACAACAATGACAATGACAATGATGACAACAATGACAATGACAATGACAATGACAATGACGTTGAGACTGACCAATGGGCAAGCTCGTGCGCCATGGTATGAGCGCCCTGTAGACCTCCCAGGTCGTGAACCACAGACAGACTGCGCCCGCTCGGGTTACACAGAGTGCCGACATACGCCCGGCCTGGGGATGTGTGGGGACAGAACAATCTCCAGTTACAGTTTCTACAATCTTTATACAGAACAATCTCCTGTTACTGTTTCTACAATCTTTATACAGAACAATCTCCTTTTTACAGTTAGTTCTATTTGTGTCTACACAATGATCTGTCTGTACCTAGTTCTCTATCTGTCTGTCTGTCTCTGGCCTCTAGCCTACTCTTTGATTCTCTTCCTTTCTTCCTTTGGGACCCTTGTGTTCTCCCAACTCTTTCTCTTTCTTTCTCTTCCTGTTTGTTGGTCTGTCTGTCTCTCTCTAGCTATGTATATCTCTGTCGATCGGTCGGTCGGTCGGTCGGTCTGTCTGTCTGTCTGTCTGTCTGTCTGTCTGTCTGTCTGTCTGTCTATCTATCTCTGTCTCCCTATAATTCCTATATTGACACATTTGTATATATATATATATATATATAGCTGCTACAAGATTTTACAGGGGAGCAGACGTTTACTATTTCAATGGGGCACCAGACTTCAAACAAATTGTGTGTTTATGACACCAGCTTTTCATATTTTTATTAATGTACTTTTTTTATGTGTGCTTTGAGGGGAAAACTTATAATAATCTCATTGGTAGATTCTAAATAGTCAAGACAAGTGAATTTCCTTTTAAAAAGTGGCTGAAACAGCATAAATGAACATACAAGGACTGATAGATACCTGGTCGCTGTGAGGTTAAACTATTACTTGTTCTGTTCAGGTCAGTTCAACGATTACTTTTAAAAGTCGTACTAACCTTGCTTTTGTTTTTTAGCATAGTTTTAGTAAGATTTGTTACTGTATTTGCAACACAATTAGGTCGTATAAATCCTGAATTACTCTTGTCTTGAATAACAACATTCAATAAAGTAAAAAATAGATTGTAGGTTTACAATCTTTCTTGACCACCACTATAAAAGCGAAATAAACATCTCCGTAAGTTTTTTAAAAACATCCTATACCATAGATTATGTTTACAACAGACACACAAACCTGAAACCAACTGGTGGCTTTCATATTCATCCCGTAGTTGAAACCTGAAAGTTAAAAAAAAACAAGAATATTTCAATTTTTCAGCAAAGCTGTAATGAACATTTACATTTCGCTTAATATCCCCAGTACAACCCAACATTTTTTTTTCAAAAATGAAATGAAATAAAATAATAAAAATATTTAAAAATACCCAACTACATTTATTTATTTCATGTTTGTTTGTTTTTACTTAAAGGATTTTGTTAGCTGTTGGCAAATGTTGATTGAGGTGTGTCCGTTTCTTGTACAAAATATATTTGCCACTTGTAAGCACAACAACGCGGTGATCAGCAAAGTGTGATATGTTACTCTGGTGGATTGATTTACTCAGCGCAGTAAACAACAATCTTTTTATGGCAGTCACATGGGCGTAAAGGAGGTTGTGGGGGGGGGGGGAGTGGGGGGGGGGGATGTGGTGGCTGACAGAAATACAGACTTAGAGAGACTCACACACACACAGACAAATACATGTACATAGACTTACACACAGACAAATACATGTACATAGACTTACACACAGACAGACAAATACATGTACATAGACTTACACACAGACAAATACATGTACATAGACTTACACACAGACAGACAAATACATGTACATAGACTTACACACAGACAAATACATGTACATAGACTTACACACAGACAAATACATGTACATAGACTTACACACAGACGAATACATGTACATAGACTTACACACAGACAGACAAATACATGTACATAGACTTACACACACACAGACAAATACATGTACATAGACTTACACACAGACAGACAAATACATGTACATAGACTTACACACAGACAGACAAATACATGTACATAGACTTACACACAGACAAATACATGTACATAGACTTACACACAGACAGACAAATACATGTACATAGACTTACACACACACAGACAAATACATGTACATAGACTTACACACAGACAGACAAATACATGTACATAGACTTACACACAGACAAATACTTGTACATAGACTTACACACAGACAGACAAATACATGTACATAGACTTACACACACACAGACAAATACATGTACATAGACTTACACACAGACAGACAAATACATGTACATAGACTTACACACAGACAAATACATGTACATAGACTTGCACACAGACAAATACATGTACATAGATTTACACACAACATATATAGGTGCATAACACACACACACATACACACACATGCACACAACATACATAGGTGCATACATACACACACACAACACACACACAACACAAATAGGTGCATACACACACACACACACACACACACACACACACACACACACACACACAGTATCCGTACCCTGTAAGCAGTATGAAATGATCATACGTCCCACTCAGCGAGTTCCCCGACACCCACACAAAAAAGGAATTGAGGGCGTCCTCGGCCGAGACAGAACGAGTGACAATGTTTGGCTGTATGCCGGCCAGCACATTCTGGGGAAACAATATATGTGGAAGATCTCACAGAAACAAGCTGGATCAAGTTTGTAATGATAAAAGTAAGTGTTTTACGTCTTATTCAACACAACTTAGATCATGTAGAGCAAGAATCCAAAACTATTGTTGCTACTGTTGTTGTTGTTGTTGTTGCTCTTGTTGTTTTTGTTGTTGGTGGTGTTGTTGCTGTTATTGTTGTTGTTGCTGTTGTTGTTGTTTGTGGTGGTGTTGTTGTTGTTGTTGTTTGTGTATTCATTTATAGATATTATTATGTATTGTTGTTTTTCTTTTTTTTTTCACAGAGGGAGAATATGGGGAAAAGGGACATAACTAGCATAGATCTAGCTGAACCTCATGCCTTTGATTTCCCTTCCATTAATACAAACTTCCAATAATATTATTATCTTAAGTAAAAGAATACAATCTAAGGTCTGATGCATAATTGTTACCAGGTTTTTCTTACCACGTTGATTTGAAACGCCACTACGTTGATTGCCACATTGTAATTCAACCTGTCCTGAAGGTTGGATAATCGCACATTTGCCTGAAACAAAAAACAAAAACCAATTGAAGTAAGTAAAATAGATTAATAAAACCCAAATCATTGGCTCTGAAATAAATAATGAATTGAAATATATTTTACTATATTGTCAAGTTCTAAATGAGTCAAGTTAAAATTCAGCAATTGAAAATTGAAGATTCCATTAATGTTCAAGATTCTAGACAACTGAGAGGTTCCGACACAACAAAATTATCCTGAAAGCAATGTTTGACTCGCTTGACGTGAGAATCCTTCAGACAACTTATATCGAAAAGAGTTGGCTTAGATCCCCATTAGGGGAAAATTCAAAATGTTAAATGTGTCCTGTGCGCTCATATGACCTTATGCAGTTGCGACTGCCGTAAAACACTGACAAAAAAACAAACAAACAACAACAAAAGACAACTTATTCTGTTAGGCATGCGCTGTCACAATGTGTTATATCATTATCTAAACGTTCAACTTTTAATGTATGCAAGGTATGCACAGCCTTAAAGGACATTCAAATAGTGTTAACAGCACGCTCTGTGTTAGAGAGAAGATTGCACGCTGCACGAAATGATGACGTTTTTTTTTCAGTTATCTAGTTTTACAGCATTAGCAACACAAATAAGTGATCATATAGGTGCAGAAGATTAGCGTTGCTACAAAAGAGTACCATTTTATAATGTGAAGGAGGAGGAGAGATAAGGATGATAGATGTTTGATAGGAAACAAGGAGCAAATATACCAGACTACCTGCCAACCACCCACAAATATGATGTAATAACAACAATGTCCATTCAAGTCTTACCTGTCTGACCATGAGAGAGACGTATTCTTTGATAAAATAACAACAATGTCCGTGCAAGTCTTACCTGTCTGACCATGAGAGAGACGTACTCTTTGATGTCGCTCTCCGTGCTCAAAGTCAGCCCACCATGACTGCTCACCCATCTGGCAAAGACAATCAACTAATGAGACATGACTGGTGATCGTGTCAACATTTTAGATAACGCAGAAATACGGTTAAGCGATTGAGTTTGTATCAAAATAAGAAATAACTTGAAACACTCTTCAAACAAACAGGAAATATTATTTCTGCTTTCAAATGGTAGGCTAAAGAAACAATGTTAACTCCTTTTTGGACAATCTGGAAATAAATGTTAACAGTTTTTGGAACAATGAAATAAACGAGAATACCTATCAGAATACATATTATACAGACATTCATTTTAACTATATTTGGTTCTAGGGTTCGCGGCTGAGCTCGGCCCGACGTCGTGTCTTTGGAAGAGACACTTTACACAAATACCTCACTTGGCTCAGTCCTTTCAGAGACGGACGTTCAAGTCAGATGTCCGGCCTCTTAAATATCTAGTAGTGTTGATAGGGGCTTTAAATCTTGTACCACTTCACCATCTACTTCTTCCTTCATTCTTTTCCTTCACTCCCTTTTTCTCTATTCTCCTTGAAAGCGTTAATATGACGGGGGATTCTCACTTGGTATAGAGCGAAATAAGAGGGAGCATTCTCACTTGGTACAGAGCGATATAAGACGGAGGATTCTCATTTGGTATACAGCGATATATGAGCAAGGATTCTCACTTGGTATAGAAATCTCTGAGAGCGACATGACAAGGAGAATTCTCATTTGGTATAGAGTGACATAAGAAGAAGGATTCTCACTTGGTATAGAACTCTCTGTCCACAAC